GCCAACAAGAAAAAAACATTTTTATTTAAACTATACAATATGTATATTTAGAAATATTATTTGAAATTTAATAATTAAACCAGAAGTTGTTGTATGGTAATCTTCACAAATGTACAGCAGTTTTTACTTCCTTCTTCAGCCAGTTCAGCATTTTTTGTATAAGAAAATTGTCCTAATCATTGCCTGTGTTTATGAAGACACTGTCCTCCGAGCTTTAAATGCTGAATGTCCATTGCAGAGGTGTCATCCATCAATGTTAATTTCAGACAAGCCAAGACAAATGCATTAATTAAGCAATGACTAGCGACACACGGCCAAATCATCTTGTTTGAACGGGAATTTTGAGTTAATTACAGTATTTTGTTATTTGCGACAGAACACACGAGTAGTGTTTCAAATTCAATCATTGAGCAAGAAAGGCTACACTGTGTAGTTATTAATTAACTGAAATTCAATCAGCTCGTACCTTTCACCAGTCATAAATGTCCAAGAGAGGAGAGCTCTCAGTTTTATTGCCAATACTTGATTATCAAGAGTGTTAGAACACTGATGACTATAGAGTGACATACGTCACTTCCGGATTGATAGAATGTGTACAACTTGTACGTCACTTCCGGATTGATAGAATGTGTACAACTTGTACGTCACCTCCGGATTGATAGAATGTGTACAACTTGTACGTCACTTCCGGATTGATAGAATGTGTACAACTTGTACGTCACTTCCGGATTGATAGAATGTGTACAACTTGTACATCACATGAATACCCCAATCAGACACAGTATACTGACTGCGAGCAACCAGTCCTTGTTTTAGCCCCTTAATGCCAAGCACCAGGCAGGGTAACAACAAGTACCATCTTTGAACATCTTTTAGTATGACGCGGCCAGGGATCGAACCCCAGACCTTCCCCTCTCCGAGTGATGCTCCAACACTAGGGAGGCGGTCTGGTATGCTGGTTTGAAACACAGGACAATGTATATGATGAGACAGAGATAAACTCTTCAACACCCATCAGCAACTTGGCTTTAATACAATATTTTCTAACATCTACCTAAGTCTTGTTTTCTATATTGAATGGGTGCTAATATCTGAATAATCACTTAAATACAGAAGTTTATATTATTTTGTCAAAACCTTTATATTATGAACAAATAAATTATTAATGCAAGAGCATAGACAGCCTAGGTTTTCTGCCGAAACAGATTCCATTTGCGGTAAAGGGCTAAAGAGCTGTGAACCTTATATGAATGGATCACTGAAAATCACAGATGACACCTGGTGTTCACAAAGAGGGTCAGCATGTCTTGCCCTTACGGTAGCATCCGCCATTCACACAATGTGCATAACAAAGTAAGTATTTATTGTATGATGCCAAACAGCAGTAACTCCTGCCATGCGACGGCGGCCTGTAAACAAACCAGATCACATTGTCATGCAGTTGTATGTTTTAAGTAAGTATTGAGACTGATGCTGAGCCAAGTATTATATGTATATCAAGTCCTGCTTGTCACCATCCAGTGTTAGACTGAGAGAGTGAGTGAGTTAAAATTTAAACTCGCATCGGCATCCTTTCAGCCATATCGCGACTCCAGTGTTAGAATTCCCATGCATATTAATGAATCATTACATCCCTACCAGGGTTTGTGCAGAAATATATTATTTCAGAAACAAGTTTTAAATTAATAATCGTCTTTTTAGTACAGTAGTGACAGCAGTAATAACAGTTACCGCTCACAGAAATAGCAAGGCTGAGAAATTTGATTAAATTGAAAAAGAAAAATCAAGATAATTTGATTGGATTAAATCAGACTTGAAGGAATACATAAAGGGATGGAATGTACAACATTAATGATGGTTGCATTTATATGGGCTTTGAAGTGTAAATACAAATGGCCTGGCTCTGGTTAGGCCATTATATTCTTGGAGAGGAAGAACCACCATGAAGAATTGCTTGTATTACCACATAAATCCACCGATCAAGGATGATCATCACGGAGGACAGGACAACATCATTCAAGAAGAAATAAATGTTACTGAGAACCCTTACTTGAGGGAACCACCATTGTGAAATGGATTTTCAGCAAAATTACCCTTGATGAGACCAAAAATATTGCCTTGTACGACTTCATCTGGGCTGATTATTATTTTGAAGTCGCGAGACATGTAATTTTCTGAGCAGGATTCTTTTTGCCAGTATGTAATTTGAATTGGTAATACCGTGGCCAGATTAAACTTAACGATTGATTGTTTAAAGTTTAGGGGTAAAAATTACAGGCCTCTTGAGAGGAATCTCTCAAAATGGCTTAATATTAGAAGGAATGGCTAAAGATGAGCTTATACACCATGATAGCTGAACGGCCGGGAAACGCAATGGCATATTTCTTCTGACTTGATGATGCATATTATTTTGCAATTTTGCTGATAATGCATCAAGGGTGGTTATTTCACATTTCCTTAAGAGTTGTTTAAATAGTCGTAAAATCCATTCGCAGCCACAATCGTCCATTCACTGTATTGTGTGCCGATCAAGCAATCTTGATCTCTTGTGATGCATGTTTTATTGACCTAAAAGATTATTATTATGAAAGAAAATAGGATGCAAACATCGTAGGGCTGCTGCATTAGTTAAGGATGAGGTGAAGCAGAAATATAACTTCAAAGTATTCGGAAACAAGTTGTATAATTTTGAAGATGTTTTAATTTTTTTTCAAATCTGTGTCTATTTCATACAAGAAAAATATTTACAGATATGATGTTATTGTATGCAAATTAATCTTTTAGTTTTATATATGTAGGAACGTTAGTCTTTTTTTCTGAAATTTCAAATCATAAATCATATAAAATGTCATTGTCAAGAATTGTTTGGGAATTAATACTAAAGAAATATGAATTCAGTTGACAAATATTCAAGTAAATAAAAATATAAAAATAAATTTAAAAAAAGCAAATTTCAGTGAATATTTTACTGATATAATAAGTTTCTTGAAATGAAATGAAACTTACTTCAAAAAATGTGTTACATGTTTTATTCTTTACTCATCCTTTTTAGAAGCAAGGGGACGGACACCTAACTGTGCACTGGATTTCCAGCTAATGGGTGTGACTCATTATTATCTGAATGGGGCAACCTCAGCCAAAATTTGTTTTCTGAAACCTGAGAAATTCAAACTCAGAAAAATGTAGCCTTTATATGCTGTCTAACAATCAAAACAGCTTTGGGAAAACCGAGAAATAGGCAATTTGTACACCTCCAAGCAGAAACACAGTTATCAGAGACTGTCATCAAAATGGGTGTGCATTGCGACGATCATTGTGGTGTACATTTCGGCTATCGTTACTCTCCTACAGTTACCGATTGTTCCGGTGGCTTTACATCTGAAACAATACTCATGACTTCCACACAGTTTTCTACGATGCGGCTTAAAGAGCATGTTTTGTCATAATGTCAAATACTTGACTTGCTTTGAGTGATGGATGTACATTACGAGACATGTGCTAACTACTCGTATTACACGTTGAGAATAATGAGTAGCCATGCTGGTATTGAAATGTACACAGGCTATAAAGTGGCGTATATTTCACATATATATTACCTTGTAGTTATCTCATCTGTTTACACATGAGTTAGAGGATATTTCAGATCTAGAGCAGTGTTACATTTCATTCATTCTTATGGGTAATGAGACAATATAGGGATTTCATTACTTTCTGAAAACCCTAAAAAATGGTATGTGGAATTTTTACGAGATGAGTAGGTTGTTTAGCTGGTTGCTGAGGGATATAAACCTTTGTGACAAGTGTGAAGGGCAGAATTAAAAACTGTCAAGAGATATTGAGTGGAAAATGACAAGAGTTATTGCAAGTTTTAATTACTAAAGCTGTTTTGTGTTGACGTGATATGTAGTTAACAACATTCTCAGGTGCAAACACATGTATGACAAATACAAACTGCCCCCTAATTGAGCTTCAGGTTTCATTACATGTGAACAGCTTAAGCAATATGTAAGAACATACGTGATTTTGTAAACAGTAAATAGGTCTGTTTCTGTCATTTTAAACAAATATAGAGTTTATAAACTTCCAGGCAAAAGAAAGTTTACACTTGAAAATTGGATTTGGCCAAAACATTGTAACATTACTAGACTGAAAACAGTCACCTGAAACACTGCAAACTTAAGGTCCAAAACACAGCCATGATACCCGTATCAAATACTTCACCATCAAATAGCCATGATACCTCTATCAAATACTTCACCATCAAATAGCCATGATACCCATATCAAATACTTCACCATCAAATAGCCATGATACCTCTATCAAATACTTCACCATCAAATAGCCATGATACCTCTATCAAATACTTCACCATCAAATAGCCATGATACCTCTATCAAATACTTCACCATCAAATAGCCATGATACCCGTATCAAATACTTCACCATCAAATAGCCATGATACCTCTATCAAATACTTTACCATCAAATAGCCATGATACCTCTATCAAATACTTCACCATCAAATAGCCATAATACCTCTATCAAATACTTCACCATCAAATAGCCATGATACCTCTATCAAATACTTCACCATCAAATAGCCATGATACCTCTATCAAATACTTCACCATCAAATAGCCATGATACCTCTATCAAATACTTCACCATCAAATAGCCATGATACCCGTATCAAATACTTCACCATCAAATAGCCATGATACCCGTATCAAATACTTCACCATCAAATAGCCATGATACCCGTATCAAATACTTCACCATCAAATAGCCATTTCTTGTTTGTTTCATTTTTAGCCGCCATCAAACATGGGTGTGTACTTTCTTTTGCCTGTCAGTGTGTTTGGTGTGCATGAGTAATATTTAAAGGGTGTATGAATATGATATTTTGAAAGAATACTTATGGACTGATTTTATATACATATTTTATTGATTATATTGATGTTCATTTTATTTTTTAAATAATTTTACTTTTTGTGTTACAGCAGTGCTGCCAAACCGCTATGGCATGGAGTCTCATTTGATGGGAAGGTCTCATTTATTCCAAGAACCAGGATTCTCAGAGGGAGAGAGCATATTGCAGGTAAGGTGCATCCATGGTGTCTGTATATTGCATAGACAGAAATGCAGATTAGAGGTTCCAGATTTATTGATGCATCTCAATACTTGTTCCCCAAGATACGAGACAAGATATATGTCATTGATACAAGAAATCTACCAACCTGCAGCATGATTGTCATGTATGCCTCACTGCACAATTAGTGCCAATTTGAAAGATTTTAATTATTTTCATTTAAATTTATACACTAGTTCAGACTTTTCATGATTGTGGAAATGACATAAGACAAAAGTGAGGCGTCATGAGGCCATGAGTGAGTCTCATGAGATAATTAAGTGTATCATGATAATTCTGGATAAGAAGATAATAAAATAAGTTAACCAAAGCACTTGTTTGCCTGTCAGTTGCACTCCGTAACCTGATGTGTACATTAGTTGTCAGTTTCAAGTTGATTGACAGCTCATATTTTAGTAAATTTTGTATATTGGTGAGAAACCCACTCTTACAAGTTTAACAAAAACTGACAGCCTGCTTCCGTGATTGCTTTGGCTCATTTGGTTCAAACAGTTTCAGTTCCAATGTTATTGGCAATAGATAAAGTGATTGTGTGCAATACATTTCAGTATTGCAGTTGTAAGTCTCGTATATATACACCCGGCCTGATTACAGTGCAGGTTTATTATGGCAGAGGAAGTGCATGGATTTCCTCAGATGAAATTATTCAGTTCAAACCCAAATGAAATTGACGTGCGTCTATTTCATTTATCATGAAATATTTTCCTGTACATTTCAATCTGTAAACCAGAAATTGTGAATTTCCGAGCATTTGCTGTCCAGCTGTACCCTACCTTTGTGTTCTTCTTCCCCAGCCCACAGTCGCTAATTGCACAGGTGAAAATCTGAACACCTGAATATCTTTAATCAGTGGCAACAAAGGAAACAGACCCTTATGATCTAAATATTTAATTAGCAGGGAATTAGAATTAGATTAAAGCAGATCTACAATCCCAAATTAACACTTAATCAAGGCTTTAAAACACATTGACTGGCTTTGATGTGCTGTTGTAAATTATGCATTGGGCAGGTATACTGGGTGCACAGTAGCTCGTCAATTTCTGGGTCTGCAGGCACAACAGTGCATAATGCACATAAAAAACGATGGATATACCGGTACTTGTCATTTTCCACTTCTCAGGATGCATGTCAGTCTCAATGTTGTCAATATCTGCAACTATAACTATGATATGAATTTCATGGGTTATTCACTTGTGATCCGAATGTGGCTATGTCATGCAGTGGTCCATCATGTGTCACATGTACATTGCAAGTGACTGTCACTCAGCTGACACTCAGCTGTCCCTCTGTCTAAGTTACAGATATGATAGTAGAACATACAGGCAAAGGACCAAAATGCAAAATCATTGCGAAATGTTGTACAGTGTTTCTTAAAGAAAATCAAATCTAACAACCACTGAATATGACAAATAAATGATTTACCTTAGAACAGAATCTGTTGTACCTGTTGTTCAGATTATCAGGTATGTGTTATGAAATATTGATAAAAGGGTTGTGACAATTTTAGATATAAGGCTGCTTTTATCAAATGTACTCTAAAGTCAAAAGTACACAAACAAGGCAAATGTATTGTGATTCAATACCCGAAGATTCAGTACTGGTTCTGTGGAGGAAACTGCCCGGGGTTGATTCAACTTTGGCATTACTGACAGTTTTAGTTTCCTTCCTTGGCAGACACAGCAAAACATGGCTATGGAATATTTATAGCTAATACAGCAATATTTCTTCATATTGGAATCTGCATTCCGACCTAAAATGTCAAATATTATTAATATTGCATCATAAATGATTATAACGTTCCACACATATGATATTTCACTGTGAGGAGATATTTCATCCACAGAACATGTCAGAAAATAGTATATTTTATTTGATTCTTTTTCAGGCACTGTACGGGTTTTTATTTGTAGTCACATGTGATGGAGAAGTGTTTTATGCATCTAGGACTGTAGAGCAATACCTTGGCTTTCATCAGGTGAGTTGTGATGATGATGATGATGATGATGATGATGATGATGATGATGATGTTGATGATGATGATCATGATGATGATCCCTGACAAGGCAAAAGACCAGGATGATGAGGATGATTAAAACTGATAAAAATAGCCAAAAAGAAATGATGGTAACACTGATGATAACTATTACTACTGATGACTATTGTATAAATAGTGTAAATAAAATATTTTGCAGATAGTTTGAACACCCGACGGAGGTGTTCATTGTGTGTATTATATCATGTATCGCTCAGGTAGCTTTAGAAATAGTTTAATGAAAGTTTCTCTTCCACTTACAAAATTGCCATGGAAGTTCCCTCAAATTCCTTTCTGGGTAATCTTCTGATTAATAATCAACATAAATGACCCGCAGTTTAGTCCTATGTGACTGTATAACCCTTAACATCATCATTAATTCACAGTTAGTTTGCTGACAAAACACTGAGTACAAAGTGACAACCAGCATTTTTAGTTTGCACTAAATGACCTGATCGTTTTAACAATAAAAACCCTTTTACAATTATATACCTAAAGCCCACCAGCAATAGGTTGTCAAACATATCCTGCCTCTTTGTCCATCTAATACACTATTTCTGTCTGGTAATTACAATGAAGGCTTTTAATATGCATGTTCCTCATAGCAATAAACATGAAGGGTTCACAAAGATTTATACGCAGGGCAGATGTTTTCAAAGGCTCAGTGTTCGCCCCTAAATAATAGGCGAGGCATATGATGGTCTTTGAGGGCAGGGTCACCTATATCGTACTTGACTCCCATCAATTGTTGTGTAAACATTGTGAGGGTGAAATTAGGGGAGGCAAATCCCCATCGGCCATCAGCCACCACAGGTCCGATCATAGAGGGAGAGATTTACCCAAGGGAGAGCAACCCTTAAATTAGCCTTTCGACTTAGTGTGAATCTTCAATTGAGAGGAAGAAAGGGATTCATGAAGTTGGTATTTAAAGATGGCAGTCAATACAAGATGATTTATCTTCTTCAACTGAGTGTATCGATTTACAATCCAAAACAGCAATTAATTAGACGTATTGTTGACATTTTTTGGCTACTGGGTGTCAGGATTATGGTAAACCTCTTTCTGGTGTGAAACGTGAAGTTGCCACATCTTTGCCAGTTCTCCTGAAATCATCAGGAGATTTGGGGTTTTTATGCCTTTTTCTTGGATGAAATTTCTGGAAAACTATGTACTTGAACACTCAGATGTTGTTTTTGTGATGTAAAAATGTAATCTATTGTGCATGCAGTAGGTTTATTAATTTTTGGTGGTAATTTGAATAGTTCTAGAAGATGTGACAAAGTTTAAGAAATTATAAGATCACTGGGTTTTTTTAGATTATTTTACGAATGTTCATTTTCAAAGTTCCTTCATTATACAATCAACAAACAAAATAAGAATTATTAAATAGATATGTCTCAAATACATTTATTGTGAAAAACATGTTAAGGAGTCAAATACAAATAGCAGAAATAATGTTAATCTGGGAAGGTTAATCTTTATTGGAAATTTATTGCCATTACTTTAACTAATCATAGAAATGTCGATATCTGGATGGTACAAAGGGAATTAAATTTGATTTTTAAAATCAGAATAATGTGAACACGAGGAGGGCATTCTCCAACCATGAAATTTTTATTCTCAAAAGACCTTTAAATTTTAATGATTCGTCTCTGGCACATTGTGTGGATGAGAAGTGCACCAAATGACTGGAGAAACTCATACGGACTATGCTATTTCAAACTCCCATAATTCAGCTGTGATAATGAGTGGAAGAGTGTACCCACCGATGTTTGAAACAAATAAGGGTAGATCAGTTTTAGGATTTTACCCTTGAGGTATTCAAATTGCATCAAAACTGATACCTTGCATGACCTTTCCGAATCAGGTAGCCAAATATTTATCTGACCTATCAACTTTTGGTATTATTTGCAACAAATATACGCATTTGGGGCTCTGCAATAGCTAGTAATGTTGACCAAAGTGTCACAGAGCAATTAATTTAGCAGACGCTCAGTGATGGGTGACGGAAGGGTTTCTAGACCCCTTGAAACAATGTTGCAATGGCTGCCTCACTATTGTGATAATGCAAAAGGCATGTATGGATTATACGGTGCCATGTGCTTGAAGCAGGGCACCTGACAAATAATCCTGGGAGTTAACCTAAGCATTGTGGCAATTTATCCTCTTTAGTCTGCAGTGGTCGTGGTTGTGCATTACTTCAGGGTCAGTAGAGTACAGTCTTCATGCCTACAGTTACATAACTGAACTGTGCAACTGTTGTTTGTTCTTTTTTTGCCAATTTTGTTGTCAAATTTTATCCTTGTATGACATCAGGTCAGTTAAAACCACAGTAACACTTCTTTGTTAGAATTGATGCAATGGTTTCTAAACAAGAACGGGTTGATGAATATGAATATTTGAAGTTGTATAGATACCTTTTGTATTTGAAAAGCTACAATTGCCTTTAGTTTAGTTTAGGCTGTATAAGATGGTTTTCATTTGCCTTAAGATGTATGGTTATGTAGCAGTAAACACAGACTAAGGCAAGTGTTCTGCCACATTTATGTAGATTGTTTTTTACATGTTTTCCAAAAGTTGGAAGTTGCAGTTTTTGTAACTCACGTTTTCCTTGAACTTATTTGTGTAAATCTGCTGTCTTCTATGCCTTAAATCTCATAATTCCTTCACAAAATGGCTATATTGAAATAAACTGTGACTGATGAAATAGTTTCACTGAAATTTTCAGTTGCCTTCACAAATGTCAAACATGCCACTGCTTTAGTTATACAGTTAGGAGTTATTTTCTGTTTTAATCTTCTTAAAAATTATAAATGATATCTTTTTTTATGGTACATCAATTTATTAATACATCAATGTGTGACTGATAATGAAATCCTGTATTTCAAACTGGAATAGGTCTTTCATGGGTAAAAGGCATTGACTCCTGATTCAGATTTGATGAAAGTTGGTATGTACATTTCAGTCGGACATCATCCATCAGAGTGTAATGGAGTTGATACACTCAGAAGACCGGGATGAGTTCAAACGCCAGCTGTCCTGGTCGTCCGGCCTGCCACAGGAAAAGTCCAATATTCCTCTCCATGAAGTTATGTTACCAGGTACGTCGGCAGTGTACACAGTGTCACACTCCGCATACTGTACTTGGCACTTGGTCGGCAGTGTACACAGTGTCACACTCCGCATACTGTACTTGGCACTTGGTCGGCAGTGTACACAGTGTCACACTCTGCATACTGTACTTGGCACTTGGTGGGCAGTGTACACAGTGTCACACTCCGCATACTGTACTTGGCACTTGGTCGGCAGTGTACACAGTGTCACACTCCGCATACTGTACTTGGCACTTGATCGGCACTGTACACAGTGTCACACTCCGCATACTGTACTTGGCACTTGGTCGGCACTGTACACAGTGTCACACTCCGCATACTGTACTTGGCACTTGGTCGGCAGTGTACACAGTGTCACACTCCGCATACTGTACTTGGCACTTGATCAGCACTGTACACAGTGTCACACTCCGCATACTGTACTTGGCACTTGATCGGCAGTGTACACAGTGTCACACTCCGCATACTGTACTTGGCACTTGATAGGTTTCATGTTATGTGATGTCAAATACATGTTGAGGCATGTCAGTTTCATGTGTACTGGTAATCATATTAATGTCATGTCATGTCAATAATATGTCAGTTTCATGTGTACTGGTAATCATATTAATGTCATGTCATGTCAATAATATGTCAGTTTCATGTGTACTGGTAATCATATTAATGTCATGTCATGTCAATAATATGTCAGTTTCATGTGTATTGGTAATCATATTAATGTCATGTCATGTCAATAATATGTCAGTTTCATGTGTACTGGTAATCATATTAATGTCATGTCATGTCAATAATATGTCAGTTTCTTGCCATGTCATTTTCATCAAAGTGAATGTCAATTTCACTGAAGAACAACAGTTTCATTCAAGACTAGTTGGATTTGGTAGATATTTCAACTGGAAAGCATGATCACAGTATGTTGCTATGGCAAGGTACATAGCTGGAGGGAAAGTACTGAAAATGAAATAATTACTACATGCTAGTCTTTTCTTTTCCAGAAAATCATCATTATCTCCATCGGTCATTCACAGTACGATTCCGCTGCCTCCTTGACAACACATCAGGGTTCATTGTAAGTACTAGCCTACAGTTAGTGTTGTAAATACTAGCCTACACTTAGTGTTGTAAATACTAGCCTACACTTAGTGTTGTAAATACTAGCCTACACTTAGTGTTGTCAGTATTAGCCTACACTTAGTGTTGTAAATACTAGCCTACACTTAGTGTTGTAAATACTAGCCTACACTTAGTGCTTGTAAGTACTAGCCTACACTTAGTGTTGTCAGTACTAGTCTACACTTAGTGTTGTAAGTACTGGCCTACACTTAGTGTTGTAAATACTAGCCTACACTTAGTGCTTGTAAGTACTAGCCTACACTTAGTATTGTAAATACTAGCCTACACTTAGTGTTGTCAGTATTAGCCTACACTTAGTGTTGTAAATACTAGCCTACACTTAGTGTTGTCAGTACTAGCCTACACTTAGTGTTGTAAATACTAGCCTACACTTAGTGTTGTCAGTACTAGTCTACACTTAGTGTTGTAAGTATTGGCCTACACTTAGTGTTGTAAATACTAGCCTACACTTAGTGCTTGTAAGTACTAGCCTACACTTAGTGTTGTTAATACTAGCCTACACTAAGTATTGTAAGTACTGGCCTACACTTAGTGTTGTAAGTACTGGCCTACACTTAGTGTTGTAAATACCAGCCTACACTTAGTGCTTGTAAGTACTAGCCTACACTTAGTGTTGTAAATACTAGCCTACACTTAGTGTTGTAAGTACTGGCCTACACTTAGTGTTGTAAGTACTGGCCTACACTTAGTGTCGTAAGTACTGGCCTACACTTAGTGTTGTAAGTACTAGCCTACACTTAGTGCTTGTAAGTACTAGTCTACACTTAGTGCTTGTAAGAACTGGCCTACACTTAGTGTTGTAAGTACTGGCCTACACTTAGTGTTGTAAGTACTGGCCTACACTTAGTGCTTGTAAGTACTGGCCTACACTTAGTATTGTAAGTACTGGCCTACACTTAGTGTTATAAGTACTGGCCTACACTTAGTGCTTGTAAGTACTGGCCTACACTTAGTGTTGTAAGTACTGGCCTACACTTAGTGCTTGTAAGTACTGGCCTACACTTAGTGTTGTAAGTACTGGCCTATACTTAGTGCTTGTAAGTACTAGGCTACACAATTTGAAATATGCTGTTAAATAAGACAGAGAACAAGTAAATTTGGCTGATAAAATTGTATATTTTTCTTGTCATGGATGCCTTAATCCACAGTGTTGATCATACAACAATCTCTTATTGAAGATCTTAAATTTTTAGTCATCATCAGTTCTCCCCATTTGTGAAAGAAATTTCCTTTATTTAGTATTTAACATTAAAGTTAATTATTTTAAATAATTGGTGCAGATGGCCTCGGAACAATAATTTCCATTTTTTGGCCTAAAGCAGAAAAAAATTAGGTTTGGTTAGCTGACCAGTGCCTGAGAATGAGGATATAGCATTGTGTGTGAACCTTCTACTGTGTTCTCCTACATACACACACATTTTTACTTAATCTCTACTGATCTCGGACTTTGTTTCAGTTTAATTTATTGCAGTAATGATATAACAGCAATGGCATTGCATTTCCAGACATTAGAGATCAATGGTTGGATACGAGTCTTGCATGGACAGAACATCCGTGCAGAAGAGCCACAACTAGCACTGTTTGCGACATGCTGTCCGTTCGGACCTCTGTCGTTGTTTGACATTCCATCTCGGGAACTGACCTTCAAGAGCAAGCACAAGATGGACTTCTCCCCAATCACCATGGACAGCAGGTAGGGAACACTTTCACTTACAGGACACTGACAACACTGGAACCTTGTCAGTCCAGACTTTGCTACCATTTTAATCCAGAATAACAGGGTTCTGGAATATCACATTATGAAGACGTTCTTTGTCTTGATCTCTTGCTATCCTGAAGGTGGTGCTTTTCCACCACCAAGACTTCACTGCTCACACATGTTGATAATGACATTTTATTGACATCAGTATGTTTCATTTAAGTGAGTAGGATGGTTTTAGGCCGCTTTTAGCAATATTCCAGCAATATCATGGTGGGGGACACCAGAAAATAGGCTTTACACATTGTACCCATGTGGGAATCGAACCTGGAGGGGTCTTCAGCGTGACAAGCCAACGCTTTAACCAGCAGGCCAACCCAATGCCCAATGCCCCTATGTTTCACTTGAGTGAGTGAGTGAGTGAGTATGGTTTAACGCCGCTTTTAGCAATATTCCAGCAATATCACGGCGGGGGACACCAGAAATGGGCTTCACACATTGTACCCATGTCGGGAATCGAACCCAGGTCTTTGGCGTGACGAGCGAACGCTTTAACCACCAGGCTACCCGACCGCCCCATGTTTCACTTGAACTGATATAGACACATATGATAGATCAATCATGCTGTTTGCTTTCATCTATATATATCTTTATATCTGAACGAAAAAAGTTAGAGAATGAAACATTTGGATTGAAATGAGATATTGTGGAAATATTCCAACCCGGAAGGTGTACATATATGTAATGTAATGTGCTGTATCAAATTTTTAACAGCCAGAAAGAATGTCACAAACATACAGAAGATATACTGTTACTGTCGAGGGGAAGTTGATTATTTTCCCGCAAGGGTTCAGCTGTGTATAGGACATCGGCATTCGAGTTTCCTTGTAGAAACACCAGTTAATCCATATCATGAATGAGTTTATTTCCTTGGATTTCATATCATCAGTCAGTAGATCATGTTTCATTAGAAATTAATAAATCAATATTTCATTTTCAACTAAAATGAGGAAAATGATAAAAATATCAGAATAATATCGGGTCTTGTGCATGTGAAACAGTAAGGATATGATATTCTCTGTATCATGAATTATCTGAAATTAGAATTCAAATTAAAGTTTACATATTTGTGTGGCCTTTGCCGTGTTTTAGTATATCCTCATTCATACTTTTAGTATATCCTCATCCATACTTTTAGTATATCCTCATTCATACTTTTAGTATATCCTCATCCATACTTTTAGTATATCCTCATTCATACTTTTAGTATATCATCATCCATACTTTTAGTATATCCTCATTCATACTTTAAGTATATCATCATCCATACTTTTAGTATATCCTCATTCATACTTTTAGTATATCATCATCCATACTTTAAGTATATCCTCATTCATACTTTTAGTATATCATCATCCATACTTTTAGTATATCCTCATTCATACTTTTAGTATATCCTCATTCATACTTTTAGTATATCCTCATTCATACTTTTAGTATATCCTCATCCATACTTTTAGTATATCCTCATCCATACTTTTAGTATATCTTCATGCATACTTTTAGTATACCATCATTCATACTTTTAGTTTATCCTCATCCATAATTTTAGTATATCATCATCATACATACTTTAGTATATCATCATTCATACTTGTAGTATATCATCATTCATACTTGTAGTATATCATCATTCATACTTTAAGTATATCATCATTCATACTTGTAGTATATCCTCATTCATACTTGTAGTATATCCTCATCCATACTTTTAGTATATCCTCATCCATATTTTTGGTATAATCCTCATTCATGCTTGTAGTATATCATCATTCATACTTTTAGTATATCCTCATTCATACTTGTAGTATAGCCTCATACATACTTTTAGTATATCCTCATCCATATTTTTAGTATAATCCTCATTCATACTTTTAGTATACCATCATTTATACTTTTAGTTTATCCTCATCCATAAGTTTAGTATATCATCATCATACATACTTTAAGTATATCCTCATTCATACTTTTAGTATATCATCATCCATACTTTTAGTATATCCTCATTCATACTTTTAGTATATCCTCATTCATACTTTTAGTATATCCTCATCCATACTTTTAGTATATCCTCATCCATACTTTTAGTATATCTTCATGCATACTTTTAGTATACCATCATTCATACTTTTAGTTTATCCTCATCCATAATTTTAGTATATCATCATCATACATACTTTAGTATATCATCATTCATACTTGTAGTATATCATCATTCATACTTGTAGTATATCATCATTCATACTTTAAGTATATCATCATTCATACTTGTAGTATATCCTCATTCATACTTGTAGTATATCCTCATCCATACTTTTAGTATATCCTCATCCATATTTTTGGTATAATCCTCATTCATGCTTGTAGTATATCATCATTCATACTTTTAGTATATCCTCATTCATACTTGTAGTATAGCCTCATACATACTTTTAGTATATCCTCATCCATATTTTTAGTATAATCCTCATTCATACTTTTAGTATACCATCATTTATACTTTTAGTTTATCCTCATCCATAAGTTTAGTATATCATCATCATACATACTTTAGTATATCATCATTCATACTTTTAGTATTTCATCATTCATACTTTTAATATATCCTCATTCAAACTTTTAGTATATCATACTTCATACTTTTATTGTATCGTCATACATACATTTAGTATATCATCATACATACTTTTAATATATCCTCATTCATACTTTTGGTATATCCTCATCCATACCTTTAGTATGCACCTTCCCCACCCATCAGCCACCACACACCTTCTGGCTCTGTCCATGAGAGAGATGTGCAATCTGTCACATAGTGACGTAGGGTGCACAAGTGTGTCGCCATCTCTTTGTGTGTGGTCAGTTCCCACACACTCGGACCACGGGTCACTGATCTCTCCACTAGAGGGCGCTCCATTACAAACACATTGATGGGATATTGAGGAATTGTATTAGCTAACCTGTCAGCTGAGAAAGCAAGAAACAGATTTATTGGTGTTCGTTTCAAACTTCTCCTCGTCAATGTCTGGGTCCCATGGTGTCAATGTAATGTGTAACCCCTCATGTAAAGAGTATATATATGGGTAATTTCCCAGCTGAGTAGCTGCTGTTGTGTGCATGGCATAATGGAACAAAGTATGGCAAAAGCTGTTGTTATCGGGCTGGTCATATGGAACTTATGTGAATGTGAAATATTAGTCATCTGGAGATTATTAAAGAAACATTTGTGCATTACTGTTTCAATTCATTGTATTCTACAAGATATCAGTGGGGCAAACTACTATGTTCAGTGAATAGTGTGAGTGGGCAATTATTGATGCCATTGATAATAATCTGCCAATACATTCACTTCCATAAGCACTTCTTCATTTGAACTAAACATTATATTTGTCTTTCTTTATACTTACATATCTATTTATGATATGCAAATTTAAGAAAATAGAAACTTTTTTATAAACCTTAAAAATACTTTTATTCAATTTCAGAAGAATCACTTGAGGTATTTGATTAACATCTGTGTCGTCTTTGTTTCGAGCATTTCAGTGGCTCATTGCCGAATCATGTAAAACAATAAAGCAGATGACTATCTTCATCTTAGAAAACCACGACATGTTAATCGGAGATCAACAAATTTTGTTTGAAAAAAAATTGAAGTGTAACCTATGTCTGACTGCGAGTAATCAGATCTTTGAATCATACCAAACATCTGTCTCCCCATGGATCTGTTACCATCCAGGGTCGGTGGGGTGGCCACACTCAGTCCCCAACAAGCGTATACAAATCGGCATCACCGACAAGATCAGCTCTACTTGTATACTATAGCAGTATTTGACTCCGGCTACGACATAGACAACGCTTATTTCATCGTGTACATGATCAGGTGGCAGTCACATGGGTACACATGGGTTGGGTTACCTCCCCTGCGAAGATCCGCGGCTATACTGCTTGTGTAAATATGGGAGCTATTGTCTGGCGATTAATTCTTGTGGCATGTATAGTTGGGCATTTGGTACAGTCTTAGAACTGCTGTATCAAGCACTTGTAATAATTGTGGTCTGGAGAATGTGGGTTGTTCTTACCCAAGTGTAACTAAGTGTATTTGGGACACACCTTTACTATTTTTCAAAACAATGGATTTGACTGACCGAAGCCAAAAGCCACACTAAAAATAAAGAATGAATAAAGTTTAGATTTTCCCAATACTAAGTGATAAAACATATACGAAACATCCCAAAACATCAAACAAAAAGCAACTTTAATGTAACACCACTTAAACAATACATGTAGTTGATCAAACACATAGTATAGTCTCTATACACAGGTACACATGGAAGTCTTCCAAACATCTACCTGGTTCTGTGAAACACATAGTATAGTCTCTATCCACAGGTACACATGGAAGTCTTCCAAACATCTACCTGGTTCTGTGAAACACATAGTATAGTCTCTATACACAGGTACACATGGAAGTCTTCCAAACATCTACCTGGTTCTGTGAAACACATAGTATAGTCTCTATACACAGGTACACATGGAAGTCTTCCAAACATCTACCTGGTTCTGTGAAACACATAGTATAGTCTCTATACACAGGTACACATGGAAGTCTTCCAAACATCTACCTGGTTCTGTGAAACACATAGTATAGTCTCTATACACAGGTACACACGGAAGTCTTCCAAACATCTACCTGGTTCTGTGAAATATATGGCATCCTGCACTTAAAGCATTTTTTTCACATGAAACTAACAAATAAACATAACAAAAGAAAATAGTCAGTTACACAAATTTGACTTCATCTGGCCAAGCTAACTGGATAGTTAAAATATCTGTAATCCAACAATTATGTTATAACACATGAAATATTCCTAAGTTACACATGAGAAGAAGTGGTCGGGTTCATTGCTGTGCAGTGAGAGGATGGATGTCTGTCCACCCACATGAAGTATTGTTAGTTTGGACTGGGCCAGGTTTGTCATGGCACAAAGGTCAATAAATATGACAACTATTTCTTAGTATGTGGAGAATGCAAATTGAATTTCATTTACAATAGGACAATGCCATGTTACTATGAGCTACCCATCCTTTTGACAAAAACTCAATGAATGAAATATGGAATATTGTAATATATAATAATATTGTATTGTTACAGAAAACAGTTTCTTATTTCTAAATATAAGCCCATGTAATTGAAGAATTTTAAATACTCTTTTATCACTTTACAATAAATTAATCGCAGAATTTAATTAAATTTGTTTAATAATGTTCAATGGCTATAAGTTAAAAGAAGTAAGATTTTACGTTTTTTCCCCCACCATATTGCAGCAGTCTAACATCAGAAACATTAACAACAGGTTTACACAAATCTATCTTCTCAATTATAATGACCTTTTTTATCAGGATGATTCAACGTTTTAGCCACTGGTATACTGCCCCTCATTCTTTGATAAAACAACAGCTAAGCAAGAAAAGTGACAATGAAGTTGCCCACAAATCCTACTTGCTGACACAGACCATCTCCATCCATTGTGTGGCCATTGCATTCCTGTAAAGAAACAACTTGATAATTACAGTCCCTGAAGGTGGCTTGAGGATTTAGTTGTAAAAGGCTTTTAATACTATTTAGTGGGAAATCTGGAAGTGACCTTATTTGAGTGTATAAAGCATGTTTGTAATGGTTGTGTCCCATTCAGTGCCAGGCCAGGATGAGAATTAACTGTGTTGTTTACAGTTTCTCTGGGTACAGGTTAATTTCTGGTGTCATGTTACAAATCCATTTGTTTTGATTTAGTCTCAGGTGAAATTGACAAGGACTTGAGTGGTTTTGTGCGTGCGTACTCATTATGATTGTGGTGGGTGACCACTGCTTAGACTTGTGGTCATCTCCCACACCTGGGAGGCTGGATACAGATGACCAATGGTTGCAAGTGTGGTCATGTGACCACTGTTAGACCACTGGTTAGACCACTGGTAAGACCTCTGGTTGGATCATTGGTTTGACCACTAGTTAGATCACTGGTTAGACCACTGGTAGGACCTCTGGTTGGATCATTGGTTTGACCAGTAGTTAGATCACTGGTTAGATCACTGCTTAGACCACTGGTTAGACCACTGGTAAGACCTCTGGTAAGACCTCTGGTTGGATCACTGGTTAGACAACTAGTTAGATCACTGGTTAGATCACTGCTTAGATCACTGGTTAGACAACTAGTTAGATCACTGGTTAGATCACTGCTTAGACCACTGGTTAGATCACTGGTTAAAACCCTGCCAGGGAACTCACACTTAACCCGTTTTTATGATTGAGGGGGTTTTCTTTAGGGAATATTTAGAGCCGAACACATTATCAATGAATTTTGCAAGATTTCTTTAGCCTTGTTTATTTATATAAAACTGTCATTATTTTCTAGTATTTAGGTAGTAATTCTGTTCTTTTCATAACTTTACATGGAAATTTCATATTCAGGAGTTTTTATATAGTTTACAAACAAAAGTCTAGTTTTTGAGAGACATTTCAAATTTATGTTTTTTTTGCAGAAATTCTGCAAAGTACACTTACCGGTACACCATTGATAAATACAATGTATAGGAGCAAAGAAATTCTAAGTTTGATAAATGATAAATCATTAATATTTGATTATGCAAATGAGCCTTTTCATAATAATAATCTGCACAAACTAATAGCCAATATCTAGTATAGTATGGATAAGATATTCTGTATATGCCCTCTTGAGACGTGTCAGTGCAGTTACCTGCATTTGGGCTTTTCACTGTCCAGGGTGATGGTCAGTGTGACCTATGACCTGCGGTCAAGTGCTCCCACCTGGCCTGGATTACCCGCTGGGGCCACACTTTTGTAAATGGCTGCTGGTCAGACAAGAGGTGGAGGGAATCAGCAACAATAATTAACTTGTAGGGCACAGCATAATTATCATGTTCACAACAGCATATTAATAACCTTAAAATGTACTAAACTACCTCAGATTTAAAAAGTCTGCTTGTTTACGCTGATTGTTGTTTTTTGTAGTAAACTTGATCACAAGAATAGTGAAACTGACACCTTCCAAGTGACATTGACAGTTTGGTATACTACTAAGTGGAACCTCCTTGGTGTATTGATCACCTGCCGAGAACAGTGTTGTTGTTTAGGAGTTTCCTAATGACTTCACAGTGTTGTTTTTTTCTTAGTTACGGTTTCAAGTGTTTGAAGGTATAGAGTTTGTCACATGTTGTAATGTGACGTCGTCAATTGCGGTGTCAAGTACTCTGACACTGCTTTATATAATCAATCTGACGGTCATTTATGTCTAATGTCTGTGAAATTGACAACCCTTTCATACTCCCTGCTTCAACTATAACAAAAGCTCAGGTAATATGATCTCTAGTGACTTTACAATTTTTGTCGGAATAGCTTGCTTAACGACACATCTACTGGTGTTTATGTACATTTCAAACTTCCTGTCACACAAATCTGTATCTACAATTTATCACAGCACTTGTCTACGATGCATATCAGCAAATTGACCTATTTGTGCCTTAATTTCTTTGTGCGGCCATATGAATGTGAATTCCTTATTTCCTTCACGTTGAAATGTAATCTTCTGTTCCCGTATTAATCTTAACTGCCCTAAGTTAATGACATAGTGCTATAAATTTGGTTCTTGAGACAGGTACGTTTTGTCCTCGTGAAAACCTGACAAGCAGGGTTAGTTATTGTCATCATGTTCAAAGAAATCGACGATCAAAAACTATGTGCATTGCTAATTGACTCACATTTCAAAGTGACATTGCAGTTGAAGATAGACCCCTTTCTGGTTTGTAAATTAATTATCCCTCATCTGATTAAACCAGTCGACTGCAATGGCAAGCTGAATTACCAGGCAGTGACCTACACCAGGAAATAGCTACAAGATGCTGGGAAAGATTATGTGAATAAAAAAATCTGTTTCTTCATTTCATCTAGTTCTCTCAATTATGATCGAAAACCTCAATGTTCTTAAAAATTATCATTGATACGATACCTTTAAATATTCAATGTCATGATAAATATTTAATATATCATGTACAATATTTTTTTATCATTTTTAATCATTCAATGTTGAAAAAGACAAAGCTTAAAATAATAATTTTAAGATGAAAGTATTTTCAATATTCAATAAACCACCCACAGACATTAATATTGTGCACCTAAAACACACTCTGCCATGATAAGACACATTAGGATGAAGACAGAGGAATCTTGAAAGATGGGGGTTCAGTCTACAAGAATTAAAATACATGTTGAAACCCTCTTAACTCAGGCCTTGTAAACAAAGGCCCCTGTGCTGGGGGGTTGTCTGTACATGGAAGGGGCAATGCTACCTGACTATGTAGCTTTAATGGCGAATCCAGATGACTAGACAATTATCTGAAATAACAGGGTTATACTGTATAGCATTTTAAAATGAACATTCATTAACCAGTGTTACGTGTAAGTTTCAAAGTGGCGTGTAAGTGTGAGAGTAAATATGTTCCCCTGAGCATTTGTTCTGGTGGAACTGATATACTACATAAGAATTCCACAGGAACATAACTCTTGGTACATGGAATGTTCAGGGGGAACCCACTCCCCCTCCTCCACACCCCAACCTCCAGTCTCCCCCCAGGACAACCAGTGAGCACGGCTTCAGAGTAGAAAACTCCCTGTGATTGTATGAGTGGATACAGATATGATAGTTTGTCCAAGCCACAAGATGCTGAGATAAAAGGTTGTTTGTTTCAGGGGCAAGATGATGTTTGGTTATGCAGACCATGAGTTGGCGTCAACATCCGGCTACGACCTTGTCCATCCCGATGATCTCTCCTACTTTGCCGCCGCCCATCAGGAGTGTAAGTATCAGAAGAATCTGTAACATATGTTACAGTGTCCACGTTACTCCCAGCTGACTTACCCATGTAACAAGATATCTGTAATGTGCTACTGTACTGGGAAGAAATCATCTCACCAGGCCAAATGAAACACTGTTTCTTCAAGCAACAAACTACGGAATGATGGGAAATGAAATTAACGAATGCCTGTTTCAATCAATCATTTTGAAGTGTTTGTTTCATGGAATGAATCAGGTGGAAATGCAGATTCTAGTCAGCAAGAAGTCATTCATTTGAATATTGATAAAAAAAAATAGAGTGGGGGTCGTAATTTTGCTTCAGATGTGATGATGGTGATATAGCTGACTGTATTGACGATGCAATTGACGTTGGGGAATGACTGTACCTTGTTTACTGATCGGTGGCAATGATAGTGATTAAGTAGGATGATTGGCAGGTTAGTTACTGATAACAACATCCTTTTGTCTTACTTGTGTGGAACACCATCCCTTGTCGACCACATCTCGATGCTTCACACCATAACCGAGACAGAAACGTGGGGGCCCTGTGTTATGGACGCTTCTCAATTCTCAACTAATTTACACCACTGGCAGATGTCAGACAGAAATTGATTAGGAATGTCAATATGCAGAATTAAATTTCCTACAGAAGGGTAAACTATAGGAGATGTTATGTGACTGGGTGTACATTTCACCCCTGAAATTGACATCATGGTAATGTGAATTCACATAAAAAATGTACTTGATTGCTTTAAAGTAATTTACTGGTTTGTTCTTGCGTAACTTCTTGTTGCTTGCATTTTGTTTTTTATCTTCCTGGAAACTTTTAATGTTCTTTTCATGTTGTTTTGAACAAGCGAAGCGGTTTTTCAAGATTAGATTTCTTCACCAGTTCTCGGGATGTTTTTCTGAGGAAACAAAACACATTTTGTTCATGTTGCTCAGTCTTCAGTACTAAGATGGATGCTGGTACATTGGGAGTGTTTGCTTTAGAATACTACTAGGTACATGATAAGAAACTGTGCATCGAAGTTGCATTTGAAAAACAAATAACCCTAATGAATGTACTCTTCACAATTAGAAAAGATATCTGCCAAAAAACTAAAGAGCGCTCCCAGCACAGGTATTGGCTAAGAATAGACCAGTACTGGACCTCCCTTGTTGTATTGTAACTCTAATGTATAATGTCAAAAGATATGGTTCACACTTATTATTGTATTTTTGGTCTATTTCAGTGATAAAAACAGGCAGTTCTGGCCTGATTGCCTACCGATGGCTGACCAAGTCTTTCCGATGGCTGTGGCTTCAGTCCAGTTGTAAGGTCATCTACAAGAACAGCAAGCCAGACTTCATAATCTGTACTCACAGGCAGCTCACGTGAGTGGTCAGCTGGTCATGTGACTGGTCATTTACTGATGTGTTCGTGTATCATGTAGAGAAACTATAAAAAACAAAAGTTAAATCTAATGAGTGAGAGAGTTAAAATGTGATAAAAAAATCTGGAGTTGAATCGAGTGATTGAATTATAATATGAGATCAGATCATGTATATTTCACCATATTGCAGTTGTATAAACAGAATTTCAACGAACAATAATACTTTTTTTAAACAATACCAACATTTTCTTAGGCATACCGGTACATCATTCACTTCAAACATTAGAAACATGGTGATGATAAAACTAATAAAAAATCTTCATGATAATTATAATTATTTTAATATATTATTGTCACAAAATGAACAAATGTAGACATTAAACATTTTATTGACAGTGTTTTGCCCCTTCATCACTGAACAAGTTGTAAACCATGAAATGAGCTAAGAAGCCAGTAGCCCTGAACAATAGTTACAACAAGAAGTAATTTATAAAAAGTGTTCATCTTTTTGCAACTAAATACCTATACAAGAACTATAATATGAACCAATGTTTCTGTTACCTATCAGTGATGACGAGGGTCAGGACCTGTTCGGCAAGCGAGGGAATGAGTTCAAGCTTCCATACCCACTCCTAGACATGGACCTGTGTGCAGGCTTCGGATTCCCAGAGGAGGATCTTGTGTCCAAGAAACCAAACAAGAACAAGAAGAAAGCTCAGGGGCGAGAATATTCCCAGAACACCAAGAAGAGGAAAGGCCCCTGTCCCCTGAACGTCTGCAGTAGCTACGGAGGCTACGCGCCTTTCAACTATGATGCTGGGGAATACAAGTCAGACATTGTGTATCCTAATAATTTTGGATACGACTCTGATATATATCGCTCCAATGTGTATGGGTCACTGACCGGTTCAATGTATCCTAGCTCGGATGCATACAGACTAGAATCTGACAAACATGGGCTCTCTAATGGATACATTTTGGATCCTCGACAATATCAGCCATCTTTACCTTACTCCACAAACAGTTATGCAGATATCATCACAACAGCACCAAAATATGGTCTGGACTATGGCTACGGCTTTGACCTTGCCAAGAAGGGTGTGTGCGAGGAATTACCCTTCTATGAAAATGACTCACGGAAATATGGATATGATTTCCATCATCATGAACGCTTTCCATCTCGTCTGAACGGGTCTCTGGAGCCAGTGGATCTCCGTTCAGCATCTGTGTACAATGCAAACTCATTCATGAACACAATAGAAGGGGCTGTTGCCCCTCCTTGTATACCATCTTCAACGCTTTTCCGGTCTGTCCATAATCAGGGAGTTTATCCTAAAGACACTAAAATGGACACAAGGTCATCACCAGACCCTGTGGTCAATGGTCAAGATCTCGTGCAACACTCTCTCAACCACAGAGACAGCTCTGTGATAAAAAGCGCTGGACCTGGTGTTCGGGACAACATTGGCTTGGACGGGAATATGACCCCGAATGTGTTACATAACAGTAATAAGACCCCTGATATGAACGGGAGTGTTTGGGGGCACTGTGGAAAGGGTCCCCCTGCTTACCACCAACGAGGGAGTTTAGGGTCTGGTTCTGACCGCGGAACAAGTCCAGCTCAGTCGGATCTCAGTGCATCAGAACTGTCCAGCGGAACTCCTAATAAAAATGATCTTGTGATGAACACAAGAACAAGTCCCAAGATCACTGGGGTTCCAGCCTCAGTCATTCATTCCAAGTAAGTTCTTACGTCAGGTTTTAACTCCACTTTGAACACAGTTATAGCAGGGTGTGTCATCTGGGATATCATCAATATGTTTCTCATTGAATATTGAATATCACTACACTGAGTAATCAATGTCAAAATATTAATATTGTTTCATCTTTCTTTCAGTCCCTCCTGTGACAAACAACAGCAACATCAACAGCAGTCTGTGATGGGGGGCATCCCTGTCCCTGTTGTGAAGGCATCACCATGGGTAGCCACCCATCACTACAATAACAACGCCTACACAGACAAGGACTGGGGCACTGGCTCAGACATGTATGCATGTGCATCCAAGAGAGCTATGTTGGCTGATACCGTGGCACATCAGAAGGTATAAACTCAGGATAAACTTGGCCTTCAGCAGGAATAGAGGGCTGGGGATAGGGATGGGATTGGATGGGATTCATGGATTGGGATTTGGGCAGGCATGGGATGGTGGTTGGAGTGGAGAGAGGAAGCAGGAGGATGGAGGTTGTGAATAGGTGGTGGGGGCAGAGATTGAGGGATGGGGATGGAGGTTGTGAATAGGTGTTGGGGGCAGAGATTGAGGGGTGGGGATGGAGGTTGTGAATAGGTGTTGGAGGCAGAGATTGAGGGGTGGGGATGGAGGTTGTGAATAGGTGTTTGGGGTAGAGATTGAGGGATGGGGATGGAGGTTGTGAATAGGTGTTGGAGGCAGAGATTGAGGGGTGGGGATGGAGGCTGTGAATAGGTGTTGGGGGCAGAGATTGAGGGGTGAGAGTGGAGGTTGTAAACAGGTGTTGGGGGCAGAGATTGAGGGGTGGGGATGGAGGTTGCGAATGGAGGTTGTGAATATATGTTGGGGACAGAGATTGAAGATTTGGTGTGGAGGTTGTGAATAGGTGCTGGGGGCAGAGACTGAGGGTGAGAGTGAAGGTTGTGAATAGGTGTTGGGGGCAGAGATTGACGGGTGGGGATGGAGGTTGTGAATAGGTGGTGGGGGCAGAGATTGAGGGGTTGTGATGGAGGTTGTGAATAGGTGGTGGGGGCAGAGATTGAGGGGTTGTGATGGAGGTTGTGAATAGGTGGTGGGGGCAGAGATTGAGGGATTTGGTTGGAGGTTGTGAATAGGTGTCGGGGGCAGAGATTGAGGGGTCGTGATGGAGGTTGTGAATAGGTGTTTGGGGCAGAGATTGAGGGGTGAGAGTGGAGGTTGTGAATAGGTGTTGGGGGCAGAGATTGAGCGATCGTGATGGAGGTTGTGAATAGGTGTTGGGGGCAGAGATTGAGGGGTGGGGATTGAGGTTGTGAATAGGTGTTGGGGGCAGAGATTGAGGGTTTTGGTTGGAGGTTGTAAATAGGTGTTTGGGGCAGAGATTGAGGGGTGAGAGTGGAGGTTGTGACAGGTGTTGGGGGCAGAGATTGAGGGGTGGGGATGGAGGTTGTGAATATATGTTGGGGGAAGAGATTGAAGATTTGGTGTGGAGGTTGTGAATTGGTGTTTGGGGCAGAGATTGAGGGGTCGTGATGGAGGTTGTGAATAGGTGGTGGGGGCAGATATCGAGGGGTCGTGATGGAGGTTGTGAATAGGTGGTGGGGGCAGAGATTGAGGGGTGGGGATGGAGGTTGTGAATAGGTGTTGGGGGCAGAGATTGAGGGTTTTGGTTGGAGGTTGTGAATAGGTGTTTGGGGCAGAAATTGAGGGGTGAGAGTGGAGGTTGCGAATAGATGTTGGGGGCAGAGATTGAGGGTTAGGGAATGGAGGTTGTGAACAGGTGTTGGAGGCAGAGATTGAGGGGTTGGGATGGAGGTTGTGAATAGGTGTTGGGGGCAGAGATTGAGGGGTGGGATTTGAGGTTGTGAATAGGTGGTGGGGGCAGCGATCGAGGGGTCGGGATAGAGGTTGTGAATAGGTGTTGGCTGCAGAGATTGAGGGGTGGGAATGGTGGTTGTAAATAGGTGTTGGGGGCAGAGATTGAGGGATGGGGCTGCAAATGGGTTGGTTGGTTGCAGGCAGGATGGGATTGAACAGGGCATGGAGATGGACTGTGGGATACATCATATTGGAAGTGTTGGGCATTAGAAGTACTGAATTAATGTGGTCAGGCATGAGGCTTGGGCTGCGGTGGAGGGTGGGTTGGTGGACAGTATTTTACAATGTGGAGCTTAATGAGATTCATGTTAGACAAGCATGTTTGTTTTAAGATATATTTCTGTTTCATTGTTATGGAGTTATTTGATTATAATAAATTATGTTAATAGTAATATTATTCGTTATCAAATAGTAAGTGAAGTGCTGTAGGCTTTGTAGTATTGACTGTAATATTCCCATTGCCTATTGTTCGTCCGATTGTGAAAGTACTACATTAACTGGGCCCTGGACTGTCAGTAACAGATTGCCTACGGGATACTGAGGCGTATAAACATAAAACATAACACATTTGTAAATGTCATACTCCATCATGGATGATAATTAGATGGATGTAAATGAATCTGCTTCACTTTTACAGGGAGTAGGGATTGGTTTCGTCATCAAAGACAAGTTCAATTTATGCTGTCCAGATTCATCAATTAGCAGAACATAGAATGCAATCATCCATTATATTTATTACCTTTTTTCTTCTTTTTTCAGCACCTGGCATTGAAGAGTGTCACAGACAGGGGAGATAATCCATTACTTAGTTTCTCTGAGATGACCCACACATTGCTAAGTGGCACCCACTGATAGAGGCCAACATGAAACTACATGTGTCAAAATGAACACTTTTTCTATTTAAGTGTCAGAGCTCAAGGTGTACTTATGACCTTGACCTATCTTGTTGACCTTGGACTAAAGCACAGTAACTCACTGGATATTTTCAGCAGTGACATGTGTCAAATGTCAGCAAATTAATTTACAAGGTTTATATGTTGTCAATCACAATGACCTTGACCTTATTTATTTAAGTCAAATTTGAGATGGGTTGCCATGTGAAAGACGATGCATGGTTGCACACTGCGAGAACTCATTGTGGTATGAGTGTAAATACACTGTTTATGTTATGTCATTAAAGAGAATCTATGTCACAATATTTTTCTTGTCCTATATGATTCATTATAATTGTACCTCGTTGTTACTTACATCAAGTCACAAAGAAAATATAAGTCCCAGCAGAACTGGCTTTAGTATCCATGAGATCGTTCTTTACAATGGGAAAACATAATGCATACTATTAAACTCTTTATTCTCATATACTTGTTTCACTACAGATATATGCATTTGTCATTTTTTATTAGTGCTGTCAATATGGTCACTGATATTATTTTATTGTATGTTTTGTTTAGGTTTGCTTATATACAGCTTTTTTTACACAGTCATTTTTGTTAATTTATTTACAAAGCTTTTCACCAAATATTATAATATGACCTATGGATTCAGCTTTAAAGTGTACTACATTAAATGCACTTGCTCGTAGAAATATCCTGTAAAACATTTATCTCTGCATTGAACAAGAAATTCAGGCTTAATACTAGCAGCTTTATCAACAAGCAATTCATTTGTTAAAAGATAGTGTTCTTTACACCCAACATAATTTTTTTCATTTTTCAATGTTTGAAGTTTATTTGTGGACTGCTCATCAGATATGTACATGTTTGTGATATTGTGTTCAAGTATTTACTGTAGAAAATGGAGTACAGTAGACATTTTGTATTGTAGTACTTTTTCAAAATGATGATTAACAAGTGAAGTCACACTACAGTATCAAAAATTATCTGAAAATATTTGCTCAATTAATAACACTATTTCTGTAAATAGGTGAACAATAATGAGGACAATTATATTCTCCTTATAGTCTGCATATGTTATGGCCTATGATTTTTAGCAATCTTGACGTGTCTCTGTCAAGCATCTCTGTTTATGTTGTGTATTTGTGTTTACTTTGACAATCCAATGAAGCACTCAGTATTGTTTTTTAATATGCGCCAATATTTCTTGTGTCCCCTCTATTAATTCTATTGGTTTTGCCAAATGACAAGTGCTATGATTTTATTTACAGCTTTTCTCAGCATGCTCCAGATGTTTGTTTGTATATTTTGTTGAAAAATATATTTTGAAAGGTTATGCTATTTTCATTTGGTGTTGCCAGGAATAGCACATTCATTAAACACAAAAGAATTTCATTTTTGAAGTGTTCAGCATTTTAATTCATCCTCATTTTTTATTTATGACATGTTATTGATTACAATGATTCATCAGTCATAAGATGCAGTGGTAAGTTAGGAGTTCATTTATGAACTTAAAAATCTATTTTTAGTACTAACTAGTAAGTATATTACACTTAGTCTCCTGGAAACAGAGTTTGTTCAACATAAGAATTGACAGATATTTATGCCTTCTCAATTCTTAAGAATTATTATTAGAATCAAATAACGTGAAGTATGTCAGCACAACATGACCAAGGAAAAATAAAATACCATGGATCTCAATATCCTTTTGTGTATTCATAATTTTCTGTTTCTTTTTCTATTACATGCGTGCTAAGGGTTCAAATTTATGGTCTGAACACTCAGGTTATTTGATTTTGAAAGTTACTTTTGGAGGTTTAACATTAAGTAGATACAGGTTTAAGTAAATATAAGATAAATATAGGCAATTGTTTGGTGATTTTTTTCTCACATGTTTGTGAATACTTTGTTTGGTTCTGAGTAGTAAAAATATAATACAGCCAGGGATATCTTCATGTAAACTAGGGAATTTTCATCATAGTAAATCTGAAATGTTACTGTATATATGAATGTTAAATGATTTTAAGAACATCCATTGCAACCTATAGGTGCTGAAATAGTTATTCCAACTCTCATATCATCTTTGTCGTTCTCGCCATCATCATAGTCATCATCATCATGTATTTATTAAGTCCCAGGCTCAAAGTTGTAATTAGTGGTTGTACATATGTATTATTTTGTTAAAGTGTCGAAATGTGTGTTTAGTTTGTGATGGGAAACATCAGTGTTGATTGCACTGAAATGATACAACGCAACCTGGCAATCATCTTGCCATGACCTTGGGATACATGTGACCTTGACCCAGAATAAGTCTCAAACTTGCCATAATAATTTATCTTTATTTCCATGAATCTTGTGAATAAAGTTGAGAAACTGGATCATCTTGTCTGTGTTGTACATTTCAAATGATTGACAAGGTTAATGCAATCTCATTAAAATCAGATCTTAGATCTTGCTAATGCCAAACAAAGATCTGGGGACATCCCATTATGGGTCATGTCAGAACGACCACTCATCCGACCAATCGTAAGTGACGATCGGGATGTGTTTTCTAATCATGCAACCTCGAAAGATCCGACTGACATTCACAGGCTTTACAACTGAATCCATAAAATCTAGGCCATCTATTAGCCAGTTTTCAATGTTTTAATCGAGACTTTGTCAAAATATGTTTCGAAGTGTAGTTGCCAGTTTCAACCTAATGCCGTAAAGCACGAGAAAAGCTGCCTTTTGATTGGCTAATGTTGACTTCTTGTCAGTCATTCCACTGGTCGGGCAAAGTTCGCGAATGGTCGGTCTGACGTGACCCGTGATAGGATGTCCTCAGATATTTGTTTAGCGGTAGTAAGAACTAAGATCTGATTGTAATGAGACTAAGTTTGGTGTTACTGGAAATTGAAGGTGAAGGTACATTAAGAGGATTTATGAAGACTCACGATGAGGTCTCCCAAACGTGCTTATACCATTCAGCTTGTCTGCAAAAGGAGGCTAATGTTAACTAAGAGTACATTAACTGTCAGCCCATTGTTATTAAATGGCTGATTTGGCCATCCTTCTTGTTGACAGTCAGTAAGGAAAATGTCCTTAAAATAAATGAGATCTGTGAAAACAGAAATTCTTTTCAACTTTGCTGCATTATTTTAGAAAGATCGCAGTAGACGAGAAAGGAAGTTTTGTCCCTCCCGTGAGATGAAACACTGCACGTGTTAATTCAGTGATGAAACGAATCAGTTCTGTGAAACCAAATTTATAACATTTGGACATAATCAGAAAAAGAATTTCATTCAAAACAGATTATATTTAATAATCTATTTCCCAACATTTTGTTCACTGACCAAATTCATGTTATGGGTTGATTTCTGGGTGGGATAAAGCTAATGGAGGCGAGGTGAAATGGGGTTTAAAGTTGCGTTCCAGATTAATTCACTTATATAGCGATGTGCATGCACGTGTGTGTGTGTGTGTGTGAGAAGATATCCATATCAGAATCTAACTGGGGCGTAGTTGATGCATTTTACGAATATAGAAATAGGAGATATAAATTACTTTAAGGGAGTACGGTAGATACATCAGTTGCTGTTCTTACATACCCGTGCTTGTAAACCTCTGCGGCTTGTGTTTTTCCCCCATTTTAAAATACATGTAGTTGGAATTGGCCGAAACAAGTCCGAAAGTTTTCTTCGTTTCTTTTTGTCACTATCGGGACATCTGATTTGGTTGGTAAGTATCCTGTGTCAGGAATAAATGCAACGCATTTAGCTCACCAAGGCTTGCAAAATACAATGTTTATTTCTAATAGAGGATATATGTTTATACCTAATACAGGATATTTACCATTCCATTCCATTCCAATAAATAAAAGCGACAAAATGTTTGCCGTAATCATAAGAAGTCCATTGTACGGTGGCGACTATATCATAAGCATATGTTCATGAATTACTATGAAATAGTCATGAAACCAGGTGTTCGCGAAAAGTTAATCGTTTCATGCCCCACCAGGCACCCATAAACACATGCAAAGGCAAGTCAATTTGCACTTGAAAAGACACGGGAACATATACAAAAGTCAAAATATACAATAGGAATTGCATTGGATGTAATTTTTGCCACTTATGCACCAAATTCGGAAATGTCCACAATAAAATGTCCTCTATACATGTCTCCAATAAAACCTTTTGAAAGCTTTACTGAGGCCTTTAATGTTGTAACCCTGATGAAACAACTTTTGAGCAAGAAATTATACCAAAGGCTCATGTCACGTAGTCTTGTGGAGAGTTTTTGTCACTCTAAATCTTTAGGCATGGATCTAAATAGGAAACAGATGAGGCGGTGTCACGGGTGGCTTATATTTGTTGAGTTCATTAGGTAATGAGTGGAAGGGAATTGGCTATTTGACCATGACCCAACGATATCAGATCATCGATATACCTGAAGCTTAAGTTAAACTTTTTGGCCAAATTCCCTTCATGCCCTGGTCCGATGACATGAGAGCGTTACACTATGTTTGTTTGTTTTTTTGGCGACGCACTCAGCAATATTCCAGATGTATGACGGTGGTCTGTAAATAATTTACGCTGGACCACACAATCCAGAGATTGACACCATGAACATCGATCCACGCAATTTGGATACGATGACATTTATCGACCAAGTCAGCGAGCCTGACCACCCGATCCTGTTAGTCACCTCTTACGACAAGCATAGTCGCCTTTTACGGCAAACATGGGTTGCTGAAGACCTATTCTAACCCGGATATTTACTGATAAGTTGCACTATGTAACCAGGCTGGCAATGTGGCCTTGGCACCGTGCTGTAGCTTATCATACTATCAAACGTGGTTTGCTTGTTTACGGACCTTGTGATTTCATGCTGCTGACATACAACACAATTTTAAACTGACGTCAGCATAAGTGTTTTGTTCCATCCCATGTAAAGACAGACATAAATAGGCTTGCTATCAAATGGCATATCAATATATTGCAGGAAAATACTGGTGAAGAATGTATTTGCACACTCGTCACAATATGGTTGAAATATTGCTCATTTGACTATAAATTTTAACTCGTTCACTCATAATAGAAATAATAACCAGCAGGCATGTTTGAATTTGCAGCAGGGCCGCTGTATTAGTCCTGGAGTTCCGTTGTCTGGTCACCACCAGCGAGTTCCAATGTGAGATGTTCGTGTTTACCTTTGGAGGAATATCTGAGACCATTAGCTGGCAGGATATGATGGTTGTGAGTTTGAATCACACGGTCACTCTGATTATGATGCTTGGTCCGACAGCACCACAATCCCACTGGTGGGTTTCACCAAGAACTCCCGCGTCACTGTAGTTTTACTTCGACATAAAAGAAGGACTACGCTCAAATTGGCAGGCTGTGACCAATATGATTCAAGTAATACAAAACACACTTCATTTGTCGTCTAATCAAGCTAGCAGCTACAAGTTACTTTAAGTACACAAAGGTAATGGTTTTCACAGCTTCAGAGCTAATCAATTGGTCTTCAGCAACCCATGCTTGTCGTAAGAGGCGACTTACAGGATCGGATAGTCAGGCTAGATGACTGGGTTGATGGATGTAATCGTATCCCAATTGCTTGGATCGATGCTCACGATGTCAGTCACTGGATTGTCTGGTCTAGACTCGATTATGTACGAACCACCGTGCACACAGCTGGGATATTGCTGTGAGCGGCGTTAAACAACTAACAAACACAAAATAAAGATTGGAAACTGACCCTAGACTGTGAAGCACTCTTCATTTCTAATATTTATGCATTTGATGTCATTACCAAAAGTCGTATCCATTATGTACATGACTCTCATAAGGAAGCGGTATGGGGTTGCCAAGGTAGTTTATTATCATGAAAAAACAACCCATTAAAATACGCCCCTCAAATTGCGTAATTCTTCAAGACGTACCTCTAAAAGTGCATGTTATCATATTATTATATTGCGATTAATATTTTAAATATAGAAGCGTTACTTGGGACATAAATAGAACTATATATAACTGATAGTCGTACAATCACCACGCTAATGTTCAACGGTAGCCAAATTGATAATCTGTGTAAGAACAGAGACTTAAGAAATAGGCTATATGAGCATCGCCGTCCACCAGTAGACCATATCTGTCCGGAGTAACCCGTCGCCGATGTAAGACAATCTACATCTTAATGACTCACATCGTATCATTGCCTTGTTAAAATGACTCATAGCATTAGTGGAGACTTAAAACCTCCAAAGATTGTAAACCTATCTAAAGTTTTGATCACCCCTAATCCAGGCCATGCCCAGGTTACCTCTTGCGGTGCTGAGGCCTTTTAGACTGCCCAATATTGGGATCATGTTCCCATGTTCTGACAGGCCATTGTTCCTCGGCAATGTCCGGCTATTGTCGGCGACCCTGGCGATATGATCCAAGGATTATCTTGCCAGAAGACATTGAAGCAATTTGTTCCGTTAGATTATTGAGTGACAAATGTATTTTAAGCCAAATAAGCAAATCTTATAATTGTTGTAAGTAGCTTGTGTTTCACTCATGGCATCTATTTGGGTTTGATTTACTCCTGGTTTGCTGAAATTATAATAAAATAACGTTTAAACGGCGCGGAAGTGTCACATTTAAAGATACAATTGTTTTCTTTGCTGAGGGATGTTTTAAAATGAACTTTGAAATCTTCTACTTTTTAAAGGTAGATAGGTTTTCAGTTTGTGACACTCACTTAAGTTTGATTTATTTCTGACATATCTTAAAACCTTCAAATGTATGCAGTGAGGATTGAGGGTGCATTAAGATGTCAGCTTGTGTGCCCTCATGGGGCAGGTATCAGGTTAGCCTAACGGAGTGATCTGGGTAAACTATTGACATCTCCCGTGTGACAACGTGCCTATCTTCATGACCCTAGCAACTTTAGATGCATGATAAATGAAACTATTATCATGTACCTCCACCACAAATTATCGATTGTACTTCTATTTTTTTTTAAATATTTCGTGTTTATTCTTGAACCTTAACTGAAACTGAAAGAAAAAACATAGATCGGGATATCTTTCAAAATGTAATATTTCCAGTTTTTAGTAAACTTCAAATTTGTAAACACATGCGTATTCAGTCTTTAGTCCATTTCGTCGTGTGCATGTATGCACTGATTAATTTCTTGGTATACGTTTGACTTACTTGTCCTGCTTACATGAAGCATTTGACTGACCTGTCCTGCTTACATGAAGTGTTTGACTGACCTGTCCTGCTTACATGAAGTGTTTGACTGACCTGTCCTGCTTACATAAAGTGTTTGACTGACTTGTCCTGCTTACATGAAGTGTTCGACTGACCTGTCCTGCTTACATGAAGTGTTTGACCGGCTTGCACTG